TCGCATAGCGCCGCAATCCCATGTAACAGGGAACAGCTGCGCAAATGATTTCCAAGAACTTCTTCTAATAACCCTTCAAGTGGCCTTTTTGTCGTTTTATACACAACATGGGGTCACACTTTGCACCGCATTCTGCTATGAGATTGGTGGGGTTTTTTGCATGACAGACAAACGGATATATCTTCATATTTTCCAAGCAGATATTAAGTACAGAACCAAATTTAATATATTTGAGGGTTTTTATAAGGTAACAATTAGACAGACTGGAATTAGAACCCGCATGGATCATGGATGGGCCGTCCAATTCCAACCCAGGGTGTCTCAGCGGTGCCATCTCGGGTTTTCACGTTTACCATTGATAATTCAAATCATAAAACTCGACGGTGCTAAGATTTCCTCTTGCTCTGAGCACGCTCAACAAAAGTCAGCGTGATCTCCTGCTCGAATGAGCATTGAGGCGGTGCTCATCTCCTGTTTGCGAGTTGCCTCCCTTGCACGCGTGGGGCTTCCTCCGGTTTCTCCAGTGTCCTCTGGCACGTATAATAAACACGCATCTATTCATTTGGCTGAAGAATCATAATGTATGCGCCTTTGTATTTGCGGATCGCGCAGCGTTTGCGAGATGCACTTGCATAAATTACGTTCTGTAAAAACTAAATATCCTGAGCCAGTGGTGGAAAATCCCAATTCATATTACCGGGGTGAATCTATCTCGAGGACAACCACTGTTGAATTCGCCACAACGTGGTAAACATTTTATTCACCCCAGAGGGAGGGATGGGCTGAGTAAACCCTGAAACCAAGATTCGAACTCGCAACCTTCCAATGGCGAGCCGCTCGCTCTACCACTGAGCCGCCCGGCCTTATCATTGACGGCCTTATCAGTGGCCACCACGGTCGCGAGATGTTAACTAGCTCGCCCGGTATCCAAAAGGTCCACCCCGACACCCGTATATTCGGAGTTTTTGTCAAGCGGCTGCAGGATGAAGGCTGTCCCACACCGTGTTGGTCACGGGCATTGTTTGGCCAAATTTCACCACGCTAGTCGATGTCGGTTGGTGTAGAGGACTTGCCACTGATGCTAGCTGTGGCTCGGATCTGGGGCGCTGTGGTGGCGAGATCTTAACTACCTCGCCTGGTATACAGGAGGTCGTGGGTTCGATCCTGACCCTGTTGCCTGTATATTTGGAGTTGCATGTCTTTCTCCCCGTGGCTACGCAAATTTTTCTCCGGGTCCTCCGGTTTTTGTCTCCACATTAAGAATCAACATGCGTTTAGAGTATCTGGCTGATATAAATTTCCACGTGATAAGCCACTTCGTTGAGCTATCATTTGTGGCCAGGTTGCTTATGAGAAAGAGCTACATAACTCAGTGGGCCTTACCTGGTAAAATAGAAATAGTTTAGTGACTGCCGACCGTGTAGGACCTTCTTGCACTTATGGGCAGAGAACAAATCAAAAACAAAACACAATCAGCGCCGTTACAGCGCATCCACTTCCACACAACACCCTCTTGTACTCGGCTAATACACAGCAGAGAACTGTGGAAATGTGATCAGACCGTTTAAATTTTCAAACGCCCTAGGGCGAGCGGGTCTGAACGATTTACTTTGTTCCACCTTAACTCCACCATCTTTGTGGGGGGGGGGGGGGGGTATGGAATGCTGTAAGGTAAAAGTGAGGCTAAACTGGGCCATCACCTTAACTTACAGCTACAATATTAACGGGAAACGCCCAAGCACAGGATTATTTTTTTAATTAATTTTTTCTTGCTTTTAACCATTTGAGAGACGGATGGGATAACATTTGTGTTGCTCAGGAGGCCTTGGGTGGGATGGCAATGTCAGAAATAATAATGCCAAGGATTATTTACGCAGGAAGGAAAGGTCTCGCTATGTCTCGAGACTATTTTTTCAGGACGGCCTTGAATTGATTACTTGGCCAATTACGCTTAAATAATTATTACTATTACTTTTATATTAATTACCGGGTAAGACACGCTGAGTTAAAAAGCTCTTTTTCAGAAGCGACCTGGCTATCACAAATGATAGCTCAAAAAAGTGGAAGTGGCTTATCATGTGGAAATTTATAGCAGCAAAATACTCTAAACATATGTTTTTGTTTCTAAATGTGTAGGGAAAAACCGGGAGAACGTGATAACTCCAAATATACAACAGGCATCAAGGTCGGAATCGAACCCGCGACTTTCTGTATACCAGGCGCGGGAGTTAACATCTCGCCACTATGGTTATTATCTGAAGGAACCAGGAATGAAGCCGACAGTCCAACTGCAAATAGGGTTAGTTCCAGGCAGTTTGACCAAATGCCCGTCCAGAACCGCCTCACAACAACAATGGCGCTCGACCCCGAGCCTACTCCCTCCCACGTGACAACAGCAACGCTGGTGGCTGGCACCAGCACGACCACAACGCCGCACTGAAGCCTTTTCTCGGGCGCAACTCGCTCCGCTGGTGGAGGGGGGGCGGGCAAAAGATTAGGCCGCAGATAGAACGCGAGCGTCGGGAAGTCAAAACCTATATTGGCCAATTCGTTTGCGCGATTCGGTGAGGCGTACTTTATAATTGGACGCTGTTTTCACAAAGCCGCATGCACCCGTTAGATTAATTGACCTCCCACCGGCGCATTTGAGGCGAAACAACAACAACAACAACAAAATGTTGGTCTCCCCACGTGCACACGTTTGTGAAGTCTGACCCGCGGTCTCCGAGACTGAGCGAACAACTCGAGTCCTGAGGCTGCACACCTGAGCCAACAGTAACAGAGACGCAAGCTCTTGGGATCCAAGAGTCTGCACATATTTTACTGTGCAAACACACACAGTCGCCGTTCAGAATTGCAAACGTGTGCACCAGTTGGCCCTGCTTGTAAAAAAAAAAGCTTTTGGCTGCAGTCCCAAGTCTGGTCGTCTGTGGAAAATGAGCTTCATAGCTCATCGGATTCCTCCAGTGTAAATAAATTATTTGATTCTGAAGTCAGTGGTGAAAAATCTCACACTCCTACAGCAAGGACCAGTCTCTCCCACAAGACAGCCGCCATTGCCTATCCTGCAAAATGTTTCTCATTTCACCAACCCCAGAGGGTTGACCAGCAGAGTTCGCCCTTTATGAGGATTACAGCTCACATCGTTACAAGTATTAGCCGAGCTCTCTATCCACAGCACCACATGGCCGGATTTGCATAGATAATAGGCACAGCCCTTGTCAAGCTGCTGCAGGATGAAGGCCTCCCCCACACCATGTTGATCATGGGCATTGTTCCCCCATATTTCACAACGGCTCGTCGATGTGGGTTGGTGAAGAGGACTTGCCACGGATGTCAGCTGTGGCTGGGATCTGGGGTGCCACGATGCTGAGATGACCACTATCTCGCCTGGTATACAGAACGTCATGGGTTCAATCCCAGCCCTGACGCCTATATATTTGGAGTTTGCGTGGTCTTCCCATGGTCGCATGGATTTTTCTCCGGGTCCTCCGTTTTTTTCCCTCCACATTTAGAATCTACACGCGTTTCGAGTATTTGGCTGCTCTAAGTTTCCACATGATAAGCCACTTCCGCTTCGTTGAGCTATCGTTCGTGGCCAGGTTACTTCTGAAAAAGAGTTAGGTAGTTCAGTGGGCCTTACCTGGTAAAATAACACATTTTAGTTTTAAATCGTTTTAGTTTAACTGAGGCGTCTGGGTTCGCAAAGCACTGTGCTATGAGCCCAGCGGTGGGTGACCACTGCACCATCGCTCCGCCTCGGATTTGGATTTGCATGTATCGGTGATTATAATTAATTCTGGGTGCTGAACAAGCAGTAAAATAAAGCCCCATACTTCCTTTTCCTGGCCAACTTCAGATTGCCGGTTTATTTGTTTTGCTATCAGCCCAACTTGGCTTCCCGGACCTACCTGACCTGCCCATGCCGGACATTTGTGGAAGCTTCATAGCTCATCGGATTCCTCGAGTCTAAATAAAGATTCTGATTCTTGAATACGAGCAAGTTCGAGCCAGTAAGGTGTGTCTCTTCACCGTCGGCGAAGGTGGCCGAGTTTAAACAAAAAACAAAACCAGTCAAACAAAACCAGTCAAGTAAAAAAAAGTTCAAGGACCACATTTCATAGTTCCAAAGAACCGTGAAGAAATGACCACAAGTGGTAAATGGATGTGACAGCACAGGTCTGCAGTCCTATGCTTGATTCAGCTTTTTCTTTTGCTTTACCCCCCATTGCGATCCTGATTGTGCCATCGGTGTCCATCAGTCCCAGTATCCGTCCAGGTCACTCGCAGAGCAGTGTTACAGAATGGCCCACGGAAGCGGACATCGCAGGGCTACCTTCGAGATCCATTAAAACAACGACTGTTCCACACAGCAGGAGGCAGGATTATCCCGCCTGCTCTGCCACCAAGAGAAATGTTCATCGCATGGCACCAAAACTGATATTTTAATTATCAGAGCAGCAATCCAGCCAAATTATGCGCAAATGCAATTTAATGTTATTGTTTTGTGGAACTATCGGTGATGGTCATCTACAATTGCTGATATGACAAGCTGCTAATCGGTACGTATGTATGTATGTTTATTTCTATCTATGTATCTTTCTCTGGAGAACTTACCCTAGACCACTTCACCATTGTCATTTAAGGCCTATGATACACATGTACGTCAAGTTAACGAGCTCAAAATTATATACATAATGTGTGAGTGTGTACGGAAGAAACCGAAGAACCTGGAGGAAACCCATGCAGATAACACAAACTCCACAGAGGAAGGCACCCGAGTTGGGAATCGAACTCGGGCGGTTCTTGCCGTAAGGCACGAGCGTCACCACTGCTCCACCTGGGCTGCCCACGTGCACCGCGACACCTCGTGTATGTTCGTTCTTAAGGCGTGTGAACGTCTGAAAAATCTGAAGCTTTTTCCTAACACAAATTGGCAGTTTACGCACTGATCGCCAGAGGAGCGGGCCCTTGTGTGACAGTGCAAGTGGGGATCTCACCGAATGTTCTTGCTCTGGCAGGTGGGATGTTGGGACAGCCTGGATAGCGCACTGATGACCTGCAACACAGGCAAAGAGGGGTAGGGGGGGGCAGGTTTAACGCAATCACTTCCCACTGCTCGCAGCGACGCACACTATAGCATTCAACATTGGTACAGAATCAGAAACTTTATTTATACTGGAGTAATCCGATGAGCTGTCAAGCTCTTTTTCACAGTTGTCCACCACCACCACCATCGTCATCGTACATCGTCACAGTTAAAACCTACTGGACAGTGAATTCATATCACGATGTCAACTTGTAACATGCCGTACATTGCTCACTCTCGAAGAGAGAGAGAATCAGAGGCATGATGACCCACAGAGAAGCAGGGAAGGCATCCAACCACGCAGTGATCCAGTGCCATCAATTGCCACAGCTCCGCACTCTATATATTAAGATGTTTTCAGCCAATTAATGAACGCTTACATAGCGGAGCACCCGGAGAAACCCCACAGGTGCAAGGGGGCAACACTAACCCATAGACGGAACAGGCTGAAGTCGACATTTGGCTGTCCCACCTTCTCCGGGAAAGTGCCGGCATTGGCACCATGATGCGCATCGGAAGCAGTTTCACAACATTTATGCGACCCACCAACCCTTGCCTCCACCGCACTGGATTACAGGCGAGCATTGTCACTGGCGCCCGGCAGTGCCCCTTACCCGAGCCACCGGGACCACGATACCTGTTATCTACGCCATCAAGTCGAAACATGGAAACTATTTAACGGCATCTTCTTGGTTCTTTCGGTAAAGTCACGTAGAATGGAAACAATAAAAATAATAAAATAAAACATAATAAAATAATTCTCACGACGTTTCGGCCACAACGCAAGCAGCCGTCATCAGGTGAAGACCAGGTCTGTCGGGGAGACAGCGTCTGAATGAAACAGCACCATGCTTGGAGCGTATATGCACCGGGCACCTGCTGGAAGCATGGTGCTGTTTCATTCAGACGCTGTCTCCACAACAGACCTGGTCTTCACCTGATGACGGCTGCTTGCATTGTGGCCGAAACGTCGTGAGAATTATTTTATTACGTTTTATTTTATTATTTTTATTGTTTACATTCTACGTGACTTTACCGAAAGAACCAAGAAGATGAATCCCTGCAGTCACGAAAGCTTTAAATCGTTATTTAACGGCAGTTAAATTATTCCCCTTTATCTGTGATTTTTTTGCAGGTAAATAGGAGTTCACCTGGAAGTGGTGCTAAATTCTTCCTATTATCCCTATCTGGGTGAACAATTACTTCTGTTGTTTTCCTTGTTGGTTTAACCGTGTTTATGAACCACATGCCATTGCAGGTAGCATGCAGTGAAACAAAAAAGGGGAACTCGCAGACGAGAGAATGCGCGTACGCGGGTCAACTGCGCCATCAAACCGTGAAGAGAAGTGAGTGCACATGGGCAGGGCAGGGATGACGGCCGATGGTCAAAAAATAGTGGCAGTGGCAGTGGCAGCCAAGGAAATGAAACGTGTCTGTGGGAAACGTCCACGGAGGAGATTGAGGGATAAAAAATAATCCAGCAGGTGGTCTGTGCATTACAACATCGGAAGCGTCATGAAAGACAACAGTGGATTGATTGAGGAAGACCTCCATTCAGCGGTGAACGGACCATGGCTGACGATGATTATAGTGTCGAGTATAATGAGCACATAACAAACACAAATAAAAACATTCATCACACTGAAGATGCGGGCAACTCGTTCTGTTTCCACGCCAACAGCCGGCTGTTACCTTGTATTTTATCTCGGTCTAATCTGTGGTAATTGCCGCCCAACATTAGTGGCAGGTTGCAATGCGGTGGGGGGGGGGGGGTTAGGCTCACTGTTTGCGTGTGAACCAGCAGAAGCTCCGGGACGAGGGCAATCCCGCAAAACGGTGCTCAACAGCATCCGGAGTTGTGGCCTTCGCTGCATCAGCACGGCTCTTTTTCAGAAGCGGACCTGGCCACGTAATGATAGCCCAATGAAGTGGCTTATCGCGTGCAAATTTAAAGCAGCCAAATAATCTCGACGCACGTTGTTTCGAAATGCGGAGGGAAAAACCGGAGGACCCGGAGAAAAATCCACGCGACCACGGGGAAAGAGATATCCAAACTGTAAATATACAGCAGCAGGCGTCAGGGTCGGGATCGAACCCACGACCCCTGTACACCAGGCGAGGTAGTTAACATCTCCTAGCCACTGCTGCGCCCGAGAGCAGTGCTGATGCCACTGTGTGCATGACTGCCCAACACAGCCACTTTGGTCTACTTCAGCAAAAACTAAAATCTGAAAGGTTTATTATTATTTTTGTTCATTACATTTTTTTTTTACTCACAGATGTCCATCAAAACGTATCGCTGCATTTATGCCATTGTTTGCATTAAAACGCCCTTTGGTGAAAACGTAACGTTTCCTGAACAGATAAATTGTTAAACACCGCATAAGCGGCAGCAGCAAATATAAGCAGAGGTCTATATCAGTCTCTCCCAATATAAATAAATACATAGTTTTAAAACAACATAGTGTTCTCCCAAACAAATACGTGTTTAAGCCAGCAGTCTATTTTTTTTTGTCTCCAATTCATCAAATATTATCAAGCAGCAAATGTATAAGCGCACTAACAGGGCCAGTATCGACCTTCTGTTTCTCATCAGCAGAGGCAGGCTTGTTAAACAAAATGCTCCTGTGGCACCGGTCGATATCGGGCAAGCACACTCTGTATAAAATACGGGACCGCGTTGACAAACCCAAAGCAAGGAGTGGAATATAACTGAAATAATTAAAGGATGAAAAAAATATATACAGAGATAAAACAATAAATAATTAAGGGGCCCACTGCTCAGGCAATTCGTTACGTAAAACTAACCGAGAGTCATAAATAAATAGCGGTCGTGGAAGTGACAATCTACATTCATATTCCTCTGCGAGCCATTGCAGACGGGGAAGCTACTCGGCAAAATTGGAAACGTTTCATGACCCAGCACGCCAAGTGGCTCACCCACCTCCTGGCCTCTCCGTATTCCCTCCCCCAAAGTGCCCAATGATTCGGAGGCAAGCCACCCGTGGGAGCTCCTTGAGGTGCTGCACAAGAAATATTAAATCACAGGAAATGCCGAGCTCAGGAGGCAGGGCACGAACGCCCGAATGCAGTCAAGATAAGAGGTGGGAGGAGTGAAAAATTCCGCCCCCCCCCCCTGGCCCCCCCCTAACTGTCCCCACCCGCTGCTCGTGCCAGCCGTGCCATGGTGCACGCGTGCGCAATATTAAATGTCGGGTTGTGTGCGTGCGGTGGGGAGCGGTAGTTACAGGGCACTTGGGCTACAAACCCGGCGACCCGAGTTCGATTCCTCGCCACGGCTAACATCGGTGGCAATTACCTGAATCGTTCCTGCACCTCTCCCCGAGGTCGACTCAGCCGAAAATTATATCGGTAGGAGTACTGCGCCTCCCCTAGGATTGCTCAGTCTTAAATGAGTACCTGCTGCGATATGAAAATACCGACGCTGGGGAGACAGAGGCGACCGAGTGTGGTTCTGACCACAGCGGCCGTTTGAGTGCCTTGCCGGCCTTTGTAGGTTGCTCACTTGCACTGACGCTCTAGCACCGTGTGTTGGGTGCTAACCATTCTGCCTCCACTCCCCCACAATTTATATTCGCTGAATGCTTGCGAGCAGCCCTGCCCCAACAGCATGTGCAGTGTAGGTTATATTGTGGATCACTGTCTCTGTGCACGCACTAATGATTGAGAACCGACCCAGTGTTTCAGGAGTATTGTAACGTAATCCCATATTTGGTGTTTTCAAAAATTGTGTCATCTTATTAGCTTAAAAATGTATGTAGTTAAACATTTGATCACGTAGGCTTTCGCGACCAATATTATACATAACATCGTACTGAAATTGTCAATGTTGTGGGTTTACTCTCCAACACACCGGTGTGCTGAACTCGCAACGAATTGGCATGTTCTGTTTACGTGACAAACCTTACTACGTGGCTGTGTCGGGTGGTGGCGGGTTTAACGACACATTTATATTGACGTGATCTGAGCCAAAAGAAAACCTCTATTATGGGTTTGCGAGTGATAGAGATACATTGAAAGAGATACATTGGCCGCAACTGTCTTCTCATTAACCTCAAGCTGCTGGCTCCATCCTTCCTCCAGTTCACTCGTTCTTAACGTTGACTGCAGCTTTGCACCCCTTTGGTTCTCAATCGTAAAAAAAAATAAAGTATAATGTTAATAAACACGTAGGGTTTCATGAAACAAAGTTGTTACTTACGTGCCCGTGCTTAATTTGTCTTTGTTGATTTACTTTCTCAAAAAACCTGGCCATGTCTGGAGCCCCCAGTGGGTGCGTGCACCCCAGGAGAAGAAGAACCACTGCTCCAGGGATTGATATTCACCCCTGTAGAGATTCAATGAATTGTCTCGTTTAAGAAACGATTCCTTGTTTATCACAACAACAAAACTTGACTCGTTCATCACTAACACCGTCAGTGGCCTTAACAGGATACAAATATAGAATCGGTGACGTTTCAGGCAATGCCCCTCCCTTCTTCATAGCACATAGATGGTGCTCTAATGATTGCCATTCATGAGCTATGAAGAAGGGCTATTTTGCCAAGCACGTCACCTATTACACATACGTTTCCCTTTAGGGCCACGGTGTTATTGGACACAATGCGTTGGGCCGTCGTTGTTAACTGTGCCTGTGCACCGCTGCCAGGGCAGCAGCAGCAGCATCAGCAAATACTTTCTTTACTCTTGAACTCTGCGCTGATTAGTCGTGCCTCCAGCAGTTGCAGCAGTGGCATGAATTCGTGACATACGGGACAAAAAACGCAGATTTAAAATTACGTAATTTCTTAAGTGCACAACGCAGTGCACGTATCGTGAAATAAAACTAAAATCAATATTACCTGACGGATCAATGCATTATCCTTCCACCATTAATAATTTCCCCTTTAAACTGATGATGAAAACACGTTAAATTAGATTTTTTCATTTTTACATCTAAAACCCATCAT